CAATATGGTTGAATATGAGGCCTGTGTTATGGGTCTACAAGTAGCAATTGAAAAGAAGATCAAAGTGTTAGATGTGTTTGGAGATTCAGCTCTAGTCATCTATTAGTTATGAGATAAATGGGAGACAAGAGACTCTAAGTTGATTCGGTACCATAACTACATCTCTGAGTTGGTCAAGCAATTTAAAGAAGTACAGTTTAAGCATCTACCTAGAGAGAAAAACCAAATTGCTGATGTACTGGCTACTCTAGCTACAATGATTAAAATAGATGCAAATACTAAAATCCAACCCATCAAGCTGGATGTAAAAGATATACCGGCACATTGCTCAGGTGTTGAAAAAGAAATTGATGGGAGGCCATGGTATCATGATATCATGCAATACATTAAAAGCCAGCAATACCCAAAACATGCAACAGAAAATGATAAGAGGACTATCAGAAGATTGGCTATGAGTTTCTTCATTGATGAAGATATCTTTTATAAAAAGAGGTCGAGATCAAGTGCTCTTAAGATGTATAAATACAGCTGAAGCAAAGAAAATTATTGAAGAAGTGCATGATGGAGTTTGTGGGGCACATACAAATGGTCATATGATGGCTAGACAAATTATGAGGGCTGGCTATTATTGGTTGACAATGGAGGGCCACTGTATTGATTATGCTAGAAGATGTCATAAATGTCAGATTTATGCTAATAAGATTCATGCTTCGCCATCAACATTACACGTTCTGGCTCCTCCGTGGCCATTTTCTATGTGGGGAATGGATGTCATTGGTTCTATCACTCCAAAAGCTTCAAATGGGCATAGATATATTTTTGTAATCATTGATTACTTCACCAAATAGGTAGAAGTTACATCATATATTAGCATGACCCGATTTGTGGTATGTAAGTTCATAAAAAAAGAGATAATATGCAGATATGGGCTTCCAAAGACAATTATTTTTGATAATGCCAAAAACTTGAACAATAAAATGATGAATGAAGTATGCACTCAGTTCAAGATCCGTCATCATAATTCGACACCGTATCATCCGAAAATGAATGGGGCAATAGAGGCTACGAATAAGAATATCAAAAGAATTTTAGAAAAAATGACTGAAACTTACAAAGATTGGCATAAGAAGTTACCTTTTGCTTTGCATGCTTATAGAACATCAGTCTGAACATCTACTGGGGCCACCCTATTCTTTTTGGTATATGGAATGAAAGCTGTGCTATCGGTCGACGTGGAAATTCCTTCATTGAGAGTCCTGATGGAGGTAGAGTTAGAGGAAGCAGAATGGGTTCAAAATTGCTATGAGCAGTTAAACCTCATTGAAGAAAAAAGACTATCAGCACTTTGTTATGGTCAATTATATCAAAAGAGGATGATGAGAGCACATAACAAAAAAATTCATCCCCGTTGTTTTAGGGAAGGAGACTTAATGCTAAAAAGAATCCTTCCAAATCAACATGATAATCGAAAGAAATGGACACCAAATTGGGAAGGCTCATATGTGGTGAAAAAGGCCTTTTCTGGTTGGGCATTGATTTTGACGAAAATGGACGGAGGTGATTTGCCTACCTCAATAAATTCAGATGTTATGAATAAATATTTTACTTAAAAAAAAAAGAAAAAGAAAAAAATGATGACTTATCTAAGATGAAAACCTGAAAAGACGGCTTGGATGTGAAGTAGAAGCATCATCAGAAGAAAATCCCATAACACAGGGGCAAGTATAGTTTGACGAACTCTGAATGATCAAAGAAATCATCTGATTTAGTTTTAAAAAAATCTGAGAATATTTTTTTCATGATTATCTTGTGATCATTATTTGGGCACCTTTGTTTCAACTCAAACACTTTGCCATGCACTTGTTATCAGCTTAATGAAATACACTTATCCTTTCATTTATCCTTATCTGATATTTTTATTCATCGTACAAGTGAATAAGAGAAATGTGTGATTGCATTTTATTTGTCTTGAACTAAAAATGATGAAAAGAAAAACAAACATGAAAGATCTCAGCATTACTTTTTAAAGTTGACAAAGACAAATGAAAAAAGATGAGAAAAGCATGACAAGACATTGATGTTGCAGACTTTAGAAGAGGAAAAATGAAGAATATAATGGTCAGAAGTTAAGAGCAGATTGGTCATATAGCAATTGTTGAGAATTTTGAAGTAAAAAAGTGAGAGATTTTGAGAACCTTTTTACTACAATTAATAATTTTGATTGCATTACATGCATTGCATTTATAGCACTCAGTACATGCATCCATGAGAAGTTGTAACAAAGATAGAAATCTTCCATTTCTTAATGAAAAACAAGATTTTGGTAAAGACAATGATCAAACAAAAGAATTTAAAAGAGAGAAATTTACTTATTCAAAGATGAGAACTCAAATTTAAAAATATATGAGATTTTAAAGTTGTTGAGCTTCTGCTGAGAGGAGCTTTTTCAAGATAAAAATTTTAAAGTTGTTGAGCCTCTGCTGAGAAGAGCCCTTTCCAAGATGAGATTTTAAAGTTGTTAAGCCTCTACTGAGATGAGCTTTTTCAAGATAAGAATTTTAAAATTATTGAGCCTCTGCTGAGAGGAGCTTTTTCAAGATAAGAATTTTAAAGTTGTTGAGCCTCTGCTGAGATGAGCCCTTTCCAAGATGAGATTTTAAAGTTGTTGAGCCTCTGTTGAGAGGAGCTTTTCCAAGATAAGAATTTTAAAGTTGTTGAGCCTTTGCTGATAGAGGCCCTTTCCAAGATGAGATTTTAAAGTTGTTGAGTCTCTACTGAGAAGAGTCATTTTCAAGATGAGATTTTAAAGTTGTTGAGCCTCTGCTGAGAGGAGTCATTTTCATGATATGAGATTTTAAAGTTGTTGAGCCTCTACTGAGAGGAACTTTTACACTAAAAAAAAATTTTTTTGAGCCTCTGTTAAGAGGAGCCTTTTAAACTTTCAAAAATATCAATTGAACCTTTATTGAGAGGAGCCCTTTTCTATCGAAGAAAAAAAAATTTTTTTCACAATGTTTCATCTTTCCAAACAAAATGGTTGTTTGTTTGTTTGTCTTTGCCTTATTTCTGATTCACAGAAATAGACAAAGAGGGGCAACTGTAAACACCATTATTATTATTATTATTATTTATTTAATTTTTTCCCATTTTTTACGTTTTTTTCTTCTTCTCATTTTTCTTTTCTTCTTTCTTTCCTCATTTCTTTTTCCTTCTTCTTCTTCCTTATTCGATTCAAATCTAGTGCACTAAATGCACAATCCCTAAAGTCTAAAATCACCGCCACTAGATGCCAACGGCCAACTGACAAGCCGCCAATCAGAAATGGCATGCGTGAATTCTCAGTTGAAAAAAATGAGATTCGAATCCCAGAAGATTTGAGATTTGAATCTTAAAAAACTTTATAAATAGAGCTTCTTATTTGCAAACGAAAAGGAGGAAAAATCGAAAAAAAAAAAAGGAAAAAATTTTTACAAAAAAAAAGGCAAAAAAAAAGTTTCTATTTAAAAAAATTTTAGTAGAAACACAAAAAAAATACACAGTCCTCCCGTAGGGAGGAACCCAGCGTCAAGCTTCCTGCAAGAAAAAAAGAAGGGTCAGTTTAAAAAAAAAAATGAGTCAGAATACAAAAAAAAAAATCTCACCGAAAACTCACAACTTGACCCGAGGTCCGCGCACCCGACCCGCGACCCGCTTCCTTGATTAGTCTCTGACCGGTCTAACTGAACCGAAATCGAACCGCCCAGACCAGACCAAATCGTCGGACCGAACAGCCAAACTGAACCGTGCGTTGACCGGACCGTTGATCGATCCGATTTAGGTAAAAAAAAAAATTTTTTAAAATTTTTAAAATTTTATATATTATTTTATTAATATTTATGTATATTAAAATATTTATATTTGTTAGATTAAATGATGAAATTATGGTTAAATTTTTTTTATATAATTATGTTAATTTTTAAAATAAACTTTAAAAACAATAATATAAAAATAAATTTAACAATAATACTAAAGTAATAAAAAATGAAAGAAAAATAAATTTTTATCCAATGATGAGATTTAAAGGTATTCCGAGTAGTGACGCCTACGAAATCTCTAGGTGAGAGATTTTTTTAAATACTACCAGTGCATTGGAGTATTTATAAAAAATTTTCAGTACAATAAAATTTTCTTTTCTTGATAAAAAATAAAATTAATTATTTTAAAAAATAATATAAATAAGGAAAAAGGAAATTTTACCCAATGATGGGATTCTAAAAGTATTCCGAGTAGAGATGCTTTAAGAAATCTCTAAGTGAGAAGATTTTTTTGTAAAATATTACCAACGTATTGGAATATTTATAAAAAATCTTCAATATAATTAAATTCCTTTTTCTCAAAATTTTAATTTTAAATAAGAATATTAATAAAATTTCTAACAAAGGAGAATAAAATGTGTGCATAAACATGGTAACATTTTTGCATTACATGCATGATATTTTTTTACGAAAAATAAATTCGAGCCTCCGAAGATGAGATTCTAAGGTATTCCGAGAAGCGATGCCTAAGAAATCTTTAGGTGAGAAAAAATTCTTCTAATGTTACCAACGTACTGGAACATTTTAAGAATTATTTAAATAAAAATGTTTTAATTTATTTTTCTAGAGAATAAATTTTTTTAATAAATAAAAAAAATCAAGGAAATTATTTTTCGAACACCGAAAATTGGACTATTTTTATCAAAATCAAAGGATAACACGTTGTTAATTGGTATTGTTTTTAATGGGCGCTGTGGGGGTGATAATCCTTCTCCACGCATAACCGACTCCCGAACCTAGACTGTTTCGCAGACCGTAAAATTATCTTTTTAATAAATTTTAATTAATTTTAAAATTTTTTTAAAAGGATATGTTTTAGTAGGTGGCGAATCGCACTTAACCAAAAAAGATTAGTAGCGACTCCGTTATTTTTTATTTCACTTTCAAATTCGTCGGACGGACACAAAACCGTTACGACATTTAGTGCAAAGGCTATCCCAATAACTGCCACAAATAAATGCATCAAAACAACGGTTACATATGTATATACAATTATATATATATAGATGTTTATTTAATCAATTCAATTAATTTTGAACTAAATTATCTAAAATCGAATTATAACTGTAATAAATAAATATATATAATTCTATATCCATGTTTAACTATTATTTTGATGCATACATATATATATATATATATATATATACTATAAAATTGCCTGATTATTTGTTTTGATTTTGAACTAATTTCATTTAATTTTTATGAATAAAACAATTCTGGTTGATTTATTTGCTTTAAACTTCAGACATTACACATGCAGACTTATTTTTTTATAAAGGAAGGTTGTAGTTTAGGGAAAGCAGAAGTGATTACAAGTTTTAAGATATGACTTTTAGACATATTAGGTGTCATATCTTAAAGATACAGAATAAGTCAATTAAATTAAATTATGAATTTATTTGTAGTCTTATTTGTATGTTGCAAAACTTAAATTAGTGAACAATTGGGTAACTGAAACAATAAGAAACCTTCAGGTATATCAGCAGCTATGACAGCAATTTCTGCAAGTATCCATAGGCAATATTTCACAAAATTTGGGTACTCAGCCTTGCACAATTCTGATAAGTGCTTGCCTGAGAGAAAGAAGTAACTCAAAATTACAAGTTAATTAATTAGTTAATCCTAATTAATTATATCAGAAATGAAGTTGATTCATTATTAGTATGAGATATAATTAATTACCAGTGCTGACCCCAAGATTAGCTGCAAGAGACTGGATTATGAGAGCAAAGACTAATCCAATTAACACCACCCACAGCAGCTGAAAATTGCAATATATATAACAGCAAAATCAGCACATTCTTGTATTGGTAATCGAGGGTACCAGAATTTGAATTCTGATCACTTGAATTAAGAATCCATTACCATACGACTGTTGGCAAAATTGGCATATTCTTGCATTCAATTACTTGTCCAAATTAAGAAGTTTATAAGGCTTTCTAATGTTTTTATTCTCTTGAATTTACCTCATATCCATCGTTGGCTCCTGCTTGCAAATCAGTTTCCACTGTGACATGACACCAATCAGATGATGATCATAAGTTGCAAACATTGAAAATGATTGATGGAGGGAGGGATCTGAGAGGTGACTTACTGTTGCCAGGATCAAGATAAGCTATTGAGACAAGGAAACCAGGGCCTACAAATGACAAAAACTTTCTCCATCCAGGTTTCTAAACATCAAAAAAGACCAATCACAAACCATATACACAAGCTATATATAAATCAATGAAATTAAGTAGCAAGTGTATCAAATTCTGAAAAGAAACCAGACCAGACCTGATCATGTTTTGGGTCATCATGATCAAAATGTTTGCTGTTGTTACCAGAGTAGGATTGCGGGGTGGTTCCCTCCACATTGATAGCAGCTATGCGGTTGCTTCCACTACCCCATGATTGAGGAAGTGCAATATCACTCCCTTGCTTTTGCTGCTGCTGCTGTTGCAAACTTTCCATCTCTCCCACTTTAAATCTTTAACTTACTAGCTATATCTCAATATCTATATTATCTTAACAAAACTTTGAAGAATTATATTGACACACATATTGAAGTAACTGAAACTGTATTTATAGTACCGAATGAAGAATCCGTCTAACATTTGGCTTAAAAAGGACAGCTTAACAGTCCACATATATTTTTTAATTTCCTTTCTTCTCTCCCAAACGGTGCCGCATGCCTGACATGTCACTGTCTTTCCCTTTGTAAAGAATGACTTCTCCCAATAAAAGATTAACAGGGAAGAGGGTAACTCTATCTATATCTAGCAAAGCATGAAAAACCTAAATTGGAAGCCTCTAACTTATCTAAATAAAAGAGATACTTGAGTGGCCTAGAATGATAGGCAAATAAATATAATAGTATTGATTTTCAATTTTTCACCTATTAGCTATAAACTTTATAATTTGATGCTTGCATTCTTATGAGCTAAATTATTTAATTCTTTTATGAAATTATTGTAGACACCGGTTTTGTCCGGATCTACTGTTTTTTTTTAATAATAATAATATTTAACAAAACAAACAAAAAACAAAAAATAAACAAACAAAAGAAACAGAAATAAAACAAAAGTCAAGGGGTTGGTTCGGCGCCGAACTGGCCCGACCAACTACCCGATCAGCCTCCCGACAAGCCACCAATCACGGACGGTAGGTATGATTTTTCAGTTGAAAAATGAGATTCAAATCTCAGAAAATCTGAGATTTGAATCCCAACAAGCTCTATAAATATAGCTTGTAAACTAGACTAAAAGGGGGAACGAAAAAAAAGGAAAAGAAGAAGGCAGCTTCTGTAAAAAAAAATTCTGCAAAAACACACAAAAAAAAAAAAAAAACAACAGTCCCCTGGAACGGGGAACCCAGCGCCAGAAAGCCACCTGAAAAAAAAAAGAGAGAGATCAGCAGATTCAAAGAAAAAAAAAAAAAAAAGAAAAAAAGAGAGACCGAAACTTTGAGCCCCGATCTACGTCGATCAGGGCTGTTTCCGGTAAAAAGGACACCGGATCTGGAAAGATCGCGTCGAAGAGAACTTCCAGAAGAATTTTCACCTTTCCCGGTCATCAGAAACCACCGTCCAAGACTGCCGGCGGCGAGCCAGACGGCGGCCGGCACGGTGCTCCGGCAACCGACCGACGACCTCTCCCCCAGAGCTCTCTCTCTCTCCCTCTCTCCCTTTTTTTTCTGAAACAGAAGCCAAATGAACCAAAAAAAAAAATCTTCAGCTATATATAGTAAAGCAAAATCTCAAAACGACGTCGTTTAGATAAAGACCCAAAACGACGCCGTTTCAGCCAAGGAGGATCCGCGCGTCAACCCGCGACCCGACCCGGGGTCCGCGCACCCGACCCGCGACCCGCTGCCTTTATCATCTCTGACCGGTCTGACTGGACCGAACCGAACCGCCGGACCAAACCAACCAGATCGAACTGAACCGCCGGACCGAACCAACCAGACCGAACCGAACCGCCGAACCGAACCAGGAGTTGACCGGACCGTTGACCGGTCCGGTTCAGGTAAAAAAAATTTTTTTTTTTGAATTTTTCTTATTTTTTAAGTATTATTTTATTAATATTTATGCATATTAAAATATCTATATTTGTTAGACTAATTAATGAATTGTGGTTAAATAATTTTTTATATAATTATGTTATTTTTTAGAATAAACTTTAAAAACAATAACATAAAAAATAATTTAATAATAATACTAAAGTAGTAAAAAAATGAAAGAAAAAGGAAATTTTTATCCGACGATGAGATTCAAAGGTATTCCGAGTAGTGATGCCTACGAAATCTCTAGGTGAGAAGATTTTTTTTAAAATACTACCAGCGTATTGGAGTATTTATAAAAAAATTTTCAATACAGTAAAGATTTTCTTTTTTAAAAAAAATAATAAATAAAAATTGATTAATAAATTAAAATATAACTAATAAAAAATAAGAGAAGAGGAAATTTTTATCCGATGATGAGATTCAAAGGTATTCCGAGTAGTGATGCCTACGAAATCTCTAGGTGAGAAGATTTTTTTAAGTACTACCAGCGTATTGGAGTATTTATAAAAATTTTTCAATACAGTAAAGGTTTTCTTTTTTTTAAGAATAATAAATAAAAATTAATGAATATAATAAAAAATATAAGTAATAAAAATAAGAAGAAAAGAAATTTAATCCAATGATGAGATTCTAAAAGTATTCCGAGTAGAGATGCTTTAAGAAATCTCTAGGTGAGAAGATTTTTTGTAAAATATTACCAGCGTATTGGAATATTTATAGAAAATCTTCAATATGATTAAATTCCTTTTTTCTTCAAAATTTTAATTAAAATTAATAAAATTAATAAAATAATTAATAAAATTTTTGAATGAGAATAAAATGTGTGCATAAACACGAAAATATTTTGCATGGCATGCATAACATAATTTCTTACGAAAAGTAAATTTAGACCTCCAAAGATGAGATTCTAAAAGTATTCCGAGTAGAGATGCTTTAAGAAATCTCTAGGTGAGAAAGAGTTCTTTTAATGTTACCAACGTACTGGAACATTTTAAGAATTATTTCAATAAAAAGGTTTTGATTTATTTTTCTCGAGAATAATTTTAATAAATAAAAATCAAAGAAATTATTTTTCGAATACTGAAAATAAGACTGTTTGTATCAAAATCAAAGGATAACACGTTGTTAATTGGTACCGTTTTTTAACGGGCGTTGTGGGGGTGCTAATCCTTCCCCACGCGTAATCGACTCCCGAACCCAGACTGTTTCGCAGACCGTAAAATTATCTTTTTAATAAATTTTAATTAATTTTAAGATTTCATTAAAAGGATATGTTTTAATAGGTGGCCAATCGCACCTAGCCAAAAAAGATTGGTGGCGACTCCGTTATTTTTTATTTCGTTTCCAAATTCGTCGGGCGGACACAAAACCGTTACGACAGCTTGGCGACTCCGCTGGGGAAGCCTTTTGTTTTCGAGAGTCAGGCCAAAATTAACTACTTGTTATCCTCAAATTTTGATTTAAATAGTCTTAATCAATTTCTTAGTAAAAAAAAAGGTAAAAAAGAAAAACCAAACAAAACAAAACAAATCAACAATAAAAAGCAAAAAAATTCACATACATTTATCTTACTATGCCTCTTATGTTTTATTTTATATATTGCTTTCAATAAATTAGGATATATTTGCACACAATGGCACGATGCATCTCATACATGAGCTCTATACCCGGGCTCCGTCCTTTATAGGAGGAAGTAAAGTACCTATTGCTCTCGTGAGGTGATAACCTCCGCAATGGCAAGCGAAATACTTCCACTCGAATTGAACCCTTTCCGTTCGTAGCCTGTAATGGGTGAGGATCGGGGTGCCTTACTAGTCCAATATGGACGACAGTGAGGAACAATTTGGGAACCTTTAGACCCTGTCAATCCAAACCCAGCATATAATAAGCCTAGGAAACCAGCCTTATATAGAGCCCCATCTACCTTCTTGTAGAAAATACCTAAGAATAAAAGTTGTGTATAATACGAAACAAAAAAAAAATCTCAAAAACATTAAAAAACAAAAAAAAACAAAAAATGTTTTTTTCAAATCACACTAACTCAATTTTGCATTAATCATATCATACAGTTTTGCATCGAGATATTTGCTCAAGGACACATTTCTCCTAAGAAGTTTCATGGATCCCATAGAACTACAGATTTGCTCATCCTCGGTTAGTGTGCCATGTGAGTCGTATAATGAAGTACATGTCTGGTCAAAAGAGGCTCAACAAAAGAACGGAGATTGTTTGCCTACCAGTTATGTGTCTGAGTTACCCGAAAAAGTGCATTTAGATCTCACACAGAATGATTTAAAAGAGTTAGCTGCTATCTGGGGTCAGTTAAGTGAGGAAAGAAAAGAAAGCTTTTGTAAAAAGTATGGGCAGATTGCATCCCCCATTTCAATAGTGATTGATGAACAGCTGGTCAAAGCAGCTATACAATTTTGGGATCCATCCTATAGATGCTTCACTTTTAATCAGGAAGATTTGGTGCCAACTATCGAGGAGTATTCAATTTTACTCGGGATAGAACTACAATGTCCAGATAAAGTATTTACTCGAAAGCCAAAATCAGGTTACCGTAAAAAGTTAGCCAAGCTTATGGGGGTTAAAGTAGAAACCATTGATTCCTTTGTAAAGTCTAAAGGTGAACATCTCGGCATTCGTTGGGACTTTCTCCGAAACTTCATTCAGGAGCATTTGGATAACGATCAAGGTATGGATGTGTTTGCTCTAGCATTGTATGGCATGATAATCTTTCCGAAGACTTTGGGTTATATTGAGATAACTGTGGTAGACTTTTTCGAGCAAATCAAAACCCAGGCAATTAATCCTGCTCCAGCAGTCCTAGCCGAAACTATCAGATCATTGAATTTCTGTCGACGAAAGGGGAAAGGACGATTCATAGGATGTGCATCTCTATTGTATATATGGGTCAGAAGTCATTTCAAATGTGGGAAGAGTGCATTTTCAAAACCATATCTTCGAAACAAGGCACCAATCGAAGAGTTTTGTAAAAGCCAATGGCCGACGTTAAAGACTAAGGAAGAATGGGTCCTTTTCTTGCGAAAGCTTACTGGGGATAAAATTGAATGGATGGCGCCTTGGATGCCTCGTGTGCCTTGTTGTATCGTGGAGGAAATGAGCCATGGATTCCGTTATTAGGGCTATGGGGTGTTGTAAGCTACGCTCCATTGATGGTACTTAGGCAATTTGGTGCGAAACAGTTTGTTCCTGCTACTTATGGCCTGGTCCAAGTAGAATTCATTTACGGAGAATCGAATCCATCAAGAACCCCAGAGCAGTTGATCCAAGCATGGAAGAGAACACAAAGAATGAGGTTAGGGCCTCTCATCGATAAAGTCACTTCTGATTACCAGATTTGGAAGGCAATGCGCCTTAGAGATATAGTACTCCCTCCAGATGATAGCTCATATCAATTGGTTAATCTTTCAGAAGAAGTGCAATTATCAGAAGTTGAGCTTATCAAGAAAGAATTAGAAGCTGAAAAAGAAGAAATAAGAAGGGAAAATTTGAGACTTCGCGAGAAGGTAGGGCAATTGAAATATGAAGCGGAGATACAAGGGAGCAAATTAGAAAAAGTCATAAAAGAGCGAGATCTGGCTAATAGTGATTTGAAAAATCTACACCAAGAAAATAAGAGGCTACGAGTTCAATTCAAAACTGGAAAAGTTACCAAGTCTTACCTTAGTCGACAACGAGAAATGGATGAGCTCCGAGAGGGAATAAACCAATGGAAGGGCAAAGCTCAAGAAAAGCAAGAGGAGACCACCAGAATTTTTCAAGAATGTCAGAATTGGAAGGGATTATACTCTACAACTTCAGCAAGATTGGTGGAATGCCAAAATGAAAAGGAAAGGTTGAAAGTCATGCTTGCAAAAGAGAGAAGAAAGCATTTTGAAGTACTGAATGAAAAAGAATCACTTCACCAGGTGATCCAAGGGTTAGAGATAGAACTACAAGACCACAAGAGCCATATTTCAGTAATGATAGATGAGTGGCATAGAAGGGAAAAAGATTGGATCTTTACATGTGATTCAGAGAGGGATGCCCACATGAGATGGAAGGCAGAAAGCCTAGGGAGGCAACAGTACATAGATCACTTGACTAATCAAGTTTGCAAGGCAGTGAAGAAAGCATGGGAGATGGTTGAAAAGGTAGAAGCATTAAGAAAAGAAGTCAATCCCATAGGAGAATATGGACAGCGCCTAGTGAACTTTCTAGATGAGACGAAAGACCATTATGCGCAAGTCAAACGCTTTTATGGATATAACTCTAGGATGTTAAATCCTATGTAATGACAGTTGTATAGGATCAATAAAAATTTCTAATGTTGAAGTTCGTCCAAAAGCAAATATCTCCCACTTGCATTCATGCATCATATGCATCATTTTTCAACACATAACATTCTAATTTTTTTTTTCTCTCAAAACAAAAATTTTGTGGTAATAAAGGTTCAAGAATAGCTCGCCCATCAAAAATTTCGGTCCAACCTACTCGTCATTCATACAATACCAGGACACAGACAAGAATCATGGAGCAAGAACAAGCCAGTAGATTTGAGAGAATTGAAAAAGCTCAAGAAGAACTAAAAGGAGATCTTAGCGCAATAATGGCTATGCTCAAGAAGCTTGACAAGGCAAAAGCAGTGGAAGAAAATCCTAGCCTTCAAGAGCAATCACCAGATATGGTCGATCCTGTCTATCCTCCAGGGTTTGAACCACGACTGAACCAACCTTCACAAGGAACTAGACTACCAGTTCCTACTCCTGGTGGATATCCTAATCCTTATCCAGGAATGACATCCACACTTGCTCCAGGACAATTTCAAAATTTTGTTAATCCCATTATGATGGAAAGACCACCTGAGCCAATCCTAGTTCCTGATTTGGATGATCCCAAAGAAAGAGAAAAGCTAGGGATGCAGACGCCTGAAAAGGTAGAAGATACCAGTGCTCGGGAGAAGATGAAGTTATTGGAAGAAAGGCTTAGGGCTGTAGAGGGAATGAATTTTTATGGCTCCACAGATGCGGCTGACCTTTGTTTAGTTCCAGACGTGGTAATTCCAACTAAATTCAAGGTCCCTAAATTTGAAAAATATGATGGCACAAAATGTCCAATGACCCACATCATCATGTATTGTCGAAAGATGGCAGCATATGCTCGAGACGAGAAGTTGTTAATGCACATATTTCAAGATAGTCTCACGGGTTCTGCAGCTAGATGGTATGTCCAACTAGATAGAACTCGTATTCATTCTTGGCAAGAGCTTACAAAGGCATTCCTTACACAATATCGTCATGTCACGGATATGATTCCAGATCGTCTATCTCTTCAAAGCATGGAAAAGAAAGCAACTGAAAACTTCAAGGAGTATGCACAAAGGTGGAGAGATGTGGCTGCACAAGTCCAACCTCCTCTCACTGAAAAAGAAACAACTATTTTATTTGTGAACACCTTGAAAGCACCATATTATGAGAGATTGATAGGCAATGCAACCAAGAACTTTACAGATATGGTGATATCAGGAGAGATCATTGAAAGTGCCATAAAAAATGGTAAGCTTGATGTGGGAGAGACAAGTGGAGCAAGAAAGAGTGGAGCTCCTAGAAAGAAAGAGAATGAGGCCCAAGCAGTAAATTTTGTGGGGCAACAATTCAGAGGTTTCACACCCTACTCTGTACCAGTCTACCAAACCCATTACCCTTCTGTAAACCATGTTACATCCACCCCCCATTCATATCAACCATACCAGTCATTACCACAACCAGCTTATTCACCCCGTTTTCAGCCATCCTTTCGAACACCCACCTATTCCTATAATCGTCCTGTTATACCTACAAGACCAGACTGGAGACCTAATAGTGGTCCAAGAGCCCCAAGAAATACCCAAGAAAAACTCACTTTCGATCCCATTCCCATGACATATACAGATTTGTATCCTCGACTTGTTGAGAAACATCTGCTTGCTCCTGTTATCATTGAACCTATGAAACCTCCGTTTCCCAAATGGTATGACCCCAATGCACATTGTGATTATCATTATGGGAATCCAGGTCATTCCACTGAGAACTGTACTGCTTTGAAGCGTAAAGTGCAGGGGTTAATCAATGAAGGAGTATTAAATTTTGATACCAGCCAACAAGGGACTCCAAATGTCAATGGGAACCCTCTACCGAATCATACCAGACCATCAATAAATGCTTTGATTGATGGGCAAACAAGCTATGTGAAAAGAAGAATAGAAGAGGTCAAAACTCCTATGGCTAAGGTGTTCGAAGTATTGGTCAAAACTGACATGTTGAAGCCAATAGAACCTCAAAATTACTCTGAAATAATAAACTCAACTGAAAGCTGCAATTATCACAGAGGTGTTCTGGGGCATTCTATCCAGAATTGTCATCAATTTCGTCAGGAGGTGCAAAAATTGATAGATGAAGGTCGAATGGAGTTTTATCAAGAAAGAGGAGAGTTGGTGAAAACTGAAGTGTCTACCATTGATTCAAAGAATAAGTTTGTACGTAGACCGGTAACTATCTATTATGATGAAAAGCCAACATCAAAGCTAGAAAAACCCGTCTCTCGACCAGTGGTGACAATTAAAGTTCCTGGCCCTTTTCCATATCAGAATGATAAAACAGTACCTTGGAAGTATGATTATGATGTCGTAGTTAACCCAGATACTGCCAACATAACGGGTGTAGGAGGCATAACTCGAAGTGGGAGGTGTTATACCCCAGAAGCTCTAGAAAAAGCTAGAAAGGAGAAAGCCAAAGTAGGAGAAGAAAATGAAAATCAGAGTGGTCTTGACACAACCCTAGAAAAAGAATGGCAGAAGCCAGTATCTGAAAGTGAAGCAGGTGAATTTTTGAAGTTAATAAAACATAGCGAGTATAGCGTGGTAGAACAGCTGAACAAGATGCCAGCTAGAATTTCGCTATTGTCATTATTGCTCAGTTCAGAGTCACACCGTAATGCTTTGCTGAAAGTGCTAAATCAAGCATATGTGTCTCACAATGCTTCTGTTGAATATGTGGAACAGCTTGTTGGCAATCTGACGATTTCAAACTATATCTCTTTCAGTGATGAAGAGATTCCTCCTGAAGGTAGAGGAAGTACCAAGGCTCTTCACATTACTGTGAAATGTAAAAGTCATATAATGGCTAAGGTTTTGATTGATAATGGTTCATCCATCAATGTTATGCCTGTGACTACTTTGACAAAACTTCCTGTTGATGGATCTTATATGAAACCTAGTCATATGATAGTGAGAGCCTTTGATGGAACCAGAAGAGAGGTGCTAGGAGATATAGAAGTGCCATTGCAAATTGGCCCATGCATTTTCAATGTGAAATTTCAAGTTATGGACATCTCTCCTTCATACAGTTGCTTATTGGGTAGGCCGTGGATCCATATGGCAGGTGCTGTTCCATCCTCATTACATCAAAAAGTCAAATTCATTGTTGAAGGGAAGCTAACATGTGTGGCAGGAGAAGAAGATTTATTGGTAACTCAACCGATAAATACTCCTTATGTGGAATCAGCAGATGAAGCTTTAGAATGCTCTTATAGATCCTTCGAGATTGCCAATGCAACATATATAGCTGGAGGATCTAAATTGTATTCGCCATACTTATCTACGACTACTAAAATGGTAGTCAAACAGCTTACCAAGATGGGATGGCGACCTGAAGCCGGACTTGGGAAGAACCTGCAAGGAATCACGAAGCCATCGACTATAAATGAAAAGAGAGATAGATTTGGCTTGGGATATAAGCCAACAAGAGGGGACAGAACAAGAATGGTGAATGAGAAAAGAGATAAGAGGATAGCTAATCTTAAGGGATATGAGCTGGAGTCAGAGCCTATAGTCATTCCACACCTCTATGATTCTTTTCACTCAGGAGGATACATTTATTCAGATTTACCGAGAGCCTCAAGTGCAGGATTCATGGAAAAATTTTCAGAGCTGGCCATTCAAATGGTGGATGATGGGGAAAAGAAGAGTCGAAGTGAAGAGTTGTTCGTGTACCCTTGTCCTTCAGATTTTGAGCTGGATAATTGGAAAGTTATGGAGCTGCCTGTTGTTTTTAAAACTTTGGAAAAGTAATGTGAAACTTTAAATCCCTAATTACTTTTTATTAGGAGATCTTTTATGGTGTGTTTATGTTTGTCATTTTAATAAAAGACTTAGAAGATGCATCCATATTTTTTCTATTGTTTTTATCTTCATTTTACCTTTCATTCTTTTCTTTCCTACATTTTCTTGTCATTCCATCTTTGTGTGCCAATATTTTCTTCATCTTACCTTTGCAGGGTCCCAAACAATGAACATGAAGATAATCATGGCAATAATCTCGGATTTGATTTTGAAAACTTAATTCATGTTGATGAACTTGATAATGAGGAAGATTCAGATAACTACACATTGCCTCTTGATTTGTTAAAATTAATAGAACATGAAGATAAGCCAATTGAACCCCACCAAGAAATTACTGAATCAGTAAATTTGGGAGGTGGTGAGAACAAAAGAGAGGTCAAAGTTGGTACATCTCTTTTACCAGCTGAAAGACAGAAGCTAGAAGAGCTACTCCGAGAATATGTAGATGTGTTCGCATGGACTTATCAAGATATGCCAGGACTCAGCACTGATATTGTAGAGCACAAGTTACCTTTAAAATCAGGATGTAAGCCGATGCAGCAAAAGCTAAGGCGCATGAAACCAGAGATGCTGCTGAAAATTAAAGAGGAAGTGAAGAAACAATTCGATGCTGGATTTTTGGAAGTGGCAAAATATCCTGAATGGGTAGCCAACATAGTGCCAGTTCCTAAGAAGGATGGAAAAGTGAGAATGTGTGTCGATTATCGAGATCTGAATAGAGCAAGCCCTAAGGATAACTTTCCTTTACCTCACATCGATACTCTAGTGGATAATACTGCTAGGCACTCCACGTTTTCCTTTATGGATGGTTTCTCAGGCTATAATCAGATCAAGATGGCTCGAGATGATATGGAGAAAACTACATTTGTGACCATGTGGGGAACATTCTGTTACAAAGTCATGCCTTTTGGGTTGAAAAATGCTGGTGCTACTTATCAAAGAGCAATGGTGACTCTTTTTCATGACATGATGCATAAAGAGATAGAAGTGTATGTGGATGATATGATTGCAAAATCTCGTGAAGGAGAGGATCATATCGTCAATCTCAAAAAGCTGTTCGACAGGTTGAGGAGATTTCAGTTGAAGTTGAATCCTGCCAAATGTACATTTGGAGCCAAATCAGGAAAACTATTGGGCTTTGTAGTCAGTGAAAAAGGAATCGAAGTGGACCCGGATAAGATACAAGCCATCCAAAACTTATCTCCTCCTCATACCTCAAAAGAAGTGCGAGGTTTCTTAGGGAGATTAAATTATATTGCTCGCTTCATCTCTCAACTCACTTATAAGTGTGATCCTATTTTCAAGCTTCTCAGAAAACATGATCCTGGAGAATGGAATGACGAATGCCAAGAAGCTTTTGATAAGATCAAAGAATACTTGTCAAATCCACCTGTGTTGGTGCCACCAATGCCAGGAAAACCTTTGATTTTGTACTTGACAGTGCATGAAAATTCAATGGGATGTGTGCTAGGGCAAAGAGATGAAACTGACAGGAAAGAACGAGCAATTTACTACTTGAGCAAGAAGTTCACTGATTATGAGTCAAAGTATTCACCATTAGAGAAGATGTGTTGTGCATTAACCTGGACAGCTCGAAGGCTGAGACAATACATGCTTTATCACACTACTTGGCTCATAGCAAAGCTGGATCCTATTAAGTATGTCTTCGAAAAGCCCTCATTGACAGGAAGAATAGCACGGTGGCAAGTTATGCTTTCAGAATATGATATCATTTACGTGACTCAAAAAGCTATTAAAGGGAGTGCAATAGCTGAATTCCTTGCTGATCGTGCAGTCGAAGATTATGAGCCAATGAAATTAGATTTTCCTGATGAGGATGTGATGGCCATTGAAAAAAATGAACCTGTTGAAAAATCATGGAGGATGTATTTTGATGGAGCTGCTAATGCTTTGGGTCATGGTATTGGGGCAATTTTGATATCTCCTGATGGACATTATTACCCCATCACAGCCAGATTAAATTTTAATTGCACAAACAATGTGGCTGAATATGAGGCCTGTGTTATGGGTCTACAAGCAGCAATTGAAAAGAAGATCAAAGTGTTAGATGTGTTTGGAGATTCAGCTTTAGTCATCTATCAGTTACGAGGTGAATGGGAAACAAGAGACTCTAAGTTGATTCGGTACCATAAATACATCTCTGAGTTGGTTAAGCAATTTAAAGAAGTTCAGTTTGAGCATCTACCCAGAGAGGAAAACCAAATTGCTGATGCACTGGCTACTCTAGCTGCAATGATCAAAATAGATGCAAATACTGAAATCCAACCCATCAAGCTGGATGTGAAAGATATACCAGCACATTGCTCAGGTGTTGAAAAAGAAATTGATGGAAGGCCATGGTATCATGACATCATGCAATACATTAAAAGCCAGCAATACCCAGAACATGCAACAGAAAATGATAAGAGAACTATCAGAAGATTAGCTATGAGCTTCTTCATTGATGGAGATATCCTTTACAAAAGAAGTCGAGATCAAGTGCTCTTAAGATGTGTAAATGCAGCTGAAGCAAAGAAGATTATTGAAGAAGTGCATGATGGAATTTGTGGGGCACATGCAAATGGTCATATGATGGCTAGACAAATAATGAGGGCTGGCTATTATTGGTTGACAATGGAGAGTGACTGTATTGATTATGCTAGGAGATGTCATAAATGTCAGATTTATGCTGACAAGATTCATGCTCCACCATCAACATTACACGTTCTAGCTCCTCCCTGGCCATTCTCAATGTGGGGTATGGATGTCATTGGTCCCATTACTCCAAAAGCTTCGAATGGGCATAGATTCATTTTTGTGATGATTGATTACTTCACCAAATGGGTAGAAGCTGCATCATATGCTAGTGTGACCCGATCTGTGGTATGTAAGTTCATAAAAAGAGAGATAATATGTAGATATGGGCTTCCGGAGACAATTATTTCTGATAATGCCAAAAACTTGAACAACAAAATGATGAATGAAGTATGCACTCAGTTCAAGATCCGCCATCGTAATTCGGCACCATATCGTCCAAAAATGAATGGGGCAGTGGAGGCTGCGAATAAGAATATCAAGAGAATCCTGGAGAAAATGACTGAAACTTACAAAGATTGGCATGAGAAGTTGCCTTTTGCCTTGCATGCTTATAGAACATCAGTCAGAACATCTACTGGGGCCACACCGTTCTCTTTGGTATATGGAATGGAAGCTGTGCTACCGATCGAAGTGGAAATTCCCTCACTGAGAGTCCTGATGGAGGTAGAGTTAGAGGAAGCAGAATGGGTTCGAAATCGCTACGAGCAGTTAAACCTCATTGAAGAGAAAAGACTGTCAGCACTTTGTCACGGTCAATTATATCAAAAGAGGATGATGAGAGCACATGACAAGAAAACTCGTCCCCGTTGCTTTAGGGAAGGAGACTTAGTGCTAAAAAGATTCCTTCCAAATCAACATGATAATCGAGGGAAATGGACACCAAATTGGGAAGGCCCGTATGTGGTGAAAAAGGCCTTTTCTGGTGGGGCATTGATTTTGGCAGAAATGGATGGAGGTGATTTGCCTACCCCAATAAATTCAGATGTTGTGAAGAAATATTTTGCTTAAAAAAAAAGAAAAAAAAGAAAAAAATGATGACTTATCTAAGTTGAAAACCTGAAAAGGCGGCTTAGATGTGAAGCAAAAGCATCATCAAGAAAAGATCCCACAATGCAGGGGCAAGTGTAGTTTGACGAACTTTGAATAATCAAGAAAGTCATCTGATTTAGTTTTAGAGAAAGAATCTGAGAATATTTTGTTCATGATTATCTTGTGATCATTCTTTTGACACCTTTATTTCAACTCAAACACTTTGACATACACTTGGTATCAGGCCATAGAAAATACATTATCCTTCATTTGAAATAATGCCTATCCTTTCCTTTATCCTTATTCGATATTTTTTGTCCATCAGAGAAATGTGATTGCATTTTATTTGTCTTGAACTTAAAATGATGAAAAGAAAAACAAACATGAAAGATCTCAGCATTACTTTTAAAGTTGACAAAGGCAAATGAAAAAGGATGAGAAAAGCATGACAAGTCCATTGATGTTGTAGACTTTTGAAAAAAAAATATTGTGGTCAGATGTTGAAGACAGATTGGTCATATAAGAATTCAGATAAAAGAAGCCGAAAGCGAGAGATTTCGAGAACCTTTTTACTACAATGAACGATTTTGATTGCATTACATGCATTGCATCATGAGCACTCAGTACATGCATCCATGAGAAGTTGTAACCCAGATAGAAATTTTCCATTTCTTAATGAAAAAACAAGATTTTGGTAAAGACAATGATCAAACAAAGGAATTCAAAAGAGGAAATTTACTTGTTCAAAGATGAGAACTCAAATTTGAAAACAGAAGATGAAATTTTAAAGTTGTTGAGCCTCTGCTGAGAGGAGCTTTTCCAAGATGAATTTTAAAGTTGTGGAGCCTCTGCTGAGAGGAGCTTTTCAAGATGAATTTTAAAGTTGTTGAGCCTCTGCTGAGAGGAGGCTTTTTCAAGATGAGATTTTAAAGTTGTTGAGCCTCTGCTGAGAGGAGCTTTTTCCAGATGAATTTTAAAGTTGTTGAGCCTCTGCTGAGAGGAGCTTTTCAAAGAAGATTTTAGAAGTTGTTGAGCCTCTGCTGAGAGGAGCTTTTCCAAGATGAATTTTAAAGTTGTTGAGCCTCTTGCTGAGAGGAGCTTTTTCAAGATGAAATTTTAAAGTTGTGGAGCCTCTGCTGAGAGGTAGACTTTTCCCAGATGAGATTTAAAAGTTGTTGAGCCCTTGCTGAGAGGAGCTTTTCCCAAGATGAATTTTAAAAGTTGTTGAGCCTTCTGAGTAAGAGGAGCTTTTTCAGGATGGAGACTTTTTAAGTTGTTGAGCCTCGTGCTGAGAGGAGCTTTTTCAGATGAAATTTTAAAGTTGTGGAGCCTCTGCTGAGAGGAGCTTTTTCAAGATGAGATTTTAAAGTTGTTGGAGCCTCCTGCTGAAGAGAGCTTTTCCAAGATGAATTTTAAAGTTGTTGAGCCTCTGCTGAGAGGAGCTTTTCAGATGAAATTTTAAAGTTGTGGAGCCTCTGCTGAGAGGAGCTTTTCCAAGATGAATTTTAAAGTTGTTGAGCCTCTGCTGAGAGGAGCTTTTCAAGATGAGATTTTAAAGTTGTTGAGCCTCTGCTGAGAGGAGCTTTTCCAAGATGAATTTTAAAGTTGTTGAGCCTCTGCTGAGAGGAGCTTTTTCAGATGAATTTTAAAGTTGTTGAGCCTCTGCTGAGAGGAGCTTTTCAAGAAGAGATTTTAAAGTTGTTGAGCCTCTGCTTGAGAGGAGCTTTTTCCAAGATGAATTTTAAAGTTGTTGAGCCTCTGCTGAGAGGAGCTTTTTCAGATGAAATTTTAAAGTTGTTGTGAGCCTCTGCTGAGAGGAGCTTTTTCCAAGATGAATTTTTAAAAGTTGTTGAGCCTCTGCTGAGAGGAGCTTTTTCCAAGATGAATTTTAAAGTTGTTGAGCCTCTGCTGAGAGGAGCTTTTTCAATGAGATTTTAAAGTTGTTTTGAGCCTTCTGCTGAGGAGGAGCTTTTTTCACAAGATGAGATTTTAAGTTGTTGAGCTGACTCTGCTGAGAGGAGCTTTTTCCAAGAGATTTTTAAAGTTGTTGAGGCCCTCTGCTGAGAGGAGCTTTCCAAGATTGAATTTTAAAGTTGTTGAGCCTCTGCTGAGAGGAGCTTTTCCAAAGATGATTTTAAAGTTGTTGAGCCTCTGCTGAGAGGAGCTTTTTCAGATGAGATTTTTAAAGTTGTTGAGCCTCTGCTGAGAGAGCTTTTTCCAAGATGAATTTAAAGTTGTTGAACCTCTGCTGAGAGGAGCCCTTTCAAAAATAAAAAAAATAAAAAAAATCAAATCAGGATTTATTCTTCGCGACAAAATCGTCGTCTTTGTCTTTGCCCTATTCCGATTTTTCTCAGTAATGTGCAAGAGGGCATCGCTGTAAGACACCGGTTTTGTCCGGATCTACTGTTTTTTTTAATAATAATAATATTTAACAAAACAAACAA